ACATTAAAGATTAATTGCACATTACAAAGATTTATACTATTGTAAATCAAGATTGATAACTTAGTGGGTACTAGATACCAATTGAGTCAAATTTTTATTAGTGAAGATATTTTAAATAATTAACATACCAAATTCTAGTCATTTGTATCATGAAGATATGAGTAGAGTTTATGATCCCATGCTATTAGATAATTTTTAATGAAATTAATTATTGCATTTGTACCCAAATTAATTCTAGTCATTTGTAGGGTGTAATCCTTAGTTAGGGGATAAAATAACCCACATGATACAATTCTTTAATAACCAATTAAAATTATGATAACAATCAGAGATATTATAAAAATTAAAATTTTACATTATTTATAAGTAGTAGTCTTCTACATTAAAAAACAAAACTTACCATTCACCTATAACCAATTACATGTACAAAATAAAGAAAATTTTATCTTTTCCTTAAATATTATCAAAGAAAAATGAAAGGTGAAACATAATAATACAAAGTGATTTTAAATTTTTTTTTTTTGTAGAGATACTATGTTAACCATTAAAGCCAAATTTAACTGAAATTAAAACGAAACCAAGAGATATAATCTAATAATTTCTCAAATAATTAATAAATTCTTATTTTATATTTAAAATCTTAAGGTCCTATTTATATTTTTTAAAAGTATAGGGTGCTAATTAAAAATTTTTCAAAAGACCAAGAGGGGTCGTGGCCTTTCCTGGTCTATATGTGGTGTGTGACAAATTAAGATCTACATATTATTACAAAAATCTTCTCTTTCATTTCATCATTATATTTTCTTGAGGATAATATACACTAAACCTCATCTATTCATTTTAGCAAAGTTTGAGTAACTTTGAAAATTAAACACGTATAAAGTATTGATAGAGACATCAAGGGATTGACGAAGACTTGACAAAGACTTGAACACCAAAAAAGAAGAAGAAGGTGAGAAGCCATTTAACAACTTGAACACCAAGGTGTTAACGATGACTTGGATCATAGTGCCGTGACCAAGACTCAATTAGGTCTTTTGTCAATTTTATGTGAGAACTTCTATTTGTTAACTAGATCAAATTAAAACAATATGTGATAAAAAATTAGAGGGGGTTATTTTCTTTTGAGTTGCATTGGTAAAGTGCCAAAAACTTGGGTTTTCTCTCAATTCTTCATGGTCACAACTTTTGTATCTACGTAAAATTAAGGATTTTCAAGATGATTATGTTTTTTCACTTGATTGATGAAAAACTTAGGTGAAAATCTAGTTAGTATTCTATTTATGACTTCTTTTTTTTTTTTTTTTATGTTGGTTGCACAACAAGAGGCAACCCTCTCCCATCTCTTATCCCGCCCTAACTGCATATCATACGACTCGAACACAAGATCTCTTACTTCTAGTAAAAGGAGATTACCATTGAATTACTTAAATCGTTGGCCTATTTATGACTCATAGTTGGACTCAATTTAAAACAATAATGATGGCATAGATCTAAACCTTAATTTATCAAGAGACATTTATTTACAACCTTCTCATTCTTTGATATAGAGAATGCATCCTTCCTTGGCCTTTTTTATTAATCATTTCAATTCATTCTAAGAAGATAAAAATATAAGAAATTAACAAGTACATAAAGTCTAGAATGGATTTCAGTAAAAAAAAAAAAACTAGGAAAGAAAATGCATGCAGCTAGCAATCATGCAGTCTTTCCACATGTAATTACACTTTTAATATGTAGTTCATATTGTAATGAATCTCCAAGAATAAAAAGAAAGTAAGAATAATAAAGAAAGTGACAAGAAGTGGGAACCAAAACTTAAAGAAAGAGAACTATATTTGGTGAAAAATTATTTGTTCCAAAAAGTAGCAACATTAATGTTGGACCTTTTATAAAGAAGCCAAAATAACTCAAAAGTCTTTTACTCCTCTCCATTCATCACTTCCCTGCAATTGCTTGCAAGTTTCCTCGTTTACAATTGCTTGACCACATTTGTCAAGTAAATGTGGAAATTAACAAGCAATAGTCTTTTACTCCTCTCCATTCATCACTTCCTTGCAATTGCTTGCAAGTTTCCTCGTTTACATTTGGTTGACAACATTTGTCAAGTAAATGTGAAAATTGACAAGCAATAAATATGATGCATGTATATGCCAATATGTAATATAAGAGTGGAAGCATTTCAAAGTAGGAACCAATTTCTAGATAATTTAATTAAGTACATAAATGAGATAGATATGTATAGAAATTTCAAATTAAGAAAGTAGTGTGAAAAGATCTATATTTAATGGATGGATAAGATTCTCTTTCTTAAATTCTCTGTAAAGCATTGATACATACATCACTTCCTAATCATAATAGTAGTTCATATATAAACATCATCCATCACAAACATGTAGTTAATATTAATTGAAACTTCAAAAGGAAAAAAAAGAAAAAGAAACCGCTTTACAATTTGAACCCAAGGGCATTGATGAAGACTTGGATCATGATACCATAACCAAGACTCAATCAAGTATTTAAAGAAGTCGTTTTACGATTTGAATACAAGGGCATTGATGAAGACTTGGATCATAATACCATGACCAAGAATCAATCAAGTCTTTCATTAGTAATAGTCTTTAAAAATATTAAATCTCACCATTCAATTAATTCTTGAACAAAAAAATTAGAAATTAATATTCTTAAATATAAAAAAAATAAAATTTGATATTTTTAAATAAAAATAAAAATTTTA